TAAAACATAACTGAAACATGCTCTTTTTAGACACATGAAATTCATTAGACTTACAAACTATACATATAATTGTTTTATGCAAAGTTTTTATATTAAGTATTAAAAAAATCACATAATTTGATCTACAATAACAACATGTAATGAATAACAAAACTTAATGTAAAATGAGGAAAAGCCTTGAAATATGACATGATGGAGCATATCAACGCGCAAATGTGGAGTTTTACCGAAGCAAATTGGTGGCTCTAATGATACTGAGAGGAAGAACGGAAGCTTTTGCAGTCGATTTCTATCCGCCGAAACCGAGGAGCATCATAAAGATCAGGGGAATTATAGACTTTCTTTAACCTAATATACTTCATTAATATTATTTGGCAAAATGGTCATTTATACCCTTGTAGTAGGCTCAATTTATCATTTCTATCCCTATCGTATTTTCGTATCAATTTACCTTGAAGTTGCTCAATTGCATCATTATATTTTATCCCTTACTTAAAACATTAAATTGAGGGTTTTAAGTTAGAAACTAAGGTTTAGGGTTTAGACTTTAAAGGTTATAGGATTATTGTTTAGGGGTTAGAGTTATCAATTTAGGGTTTTAAGTTGGGATAAGGTATAAAATGATGTAATTAAACAACTTTTAGGGCTAAATTAATACGAAAATATGATAGAGACGAAAATGATAAATTTAGTCTACTACAAGGGCAAAAGTGACCCTTAAGTTATTATTTTTCATTAAAACCTCAAAATCTATTAATTCTCAAATTAATATTTTTTTATCGTACCAGTAAAGACGTGTAAGAAGAGTCTTTTATTGATGTGATAGAAAGATTGCATCTTAAAAATATGAAAAAAATGTATATGAATTTTATCTAAAATGAATAAATGAATAAATTTTATGTTCAATCATTTAATAAATACATATTTAAGAGGAAAATAGACATTTATCTTCTTTCATTTTACTTTTTTTCTTTTCTTTTTTCAAGTTAATAAATTACATAATTTTGTTTCTTAAATAAACATAGATAAATCTAATTGTTAATACTTGATATCGTCTTGTTATTTGTTAATGTAAAGTATTGAAGAATTATAGTCTTAAAATGCAAATACTAGTGTATGTATATTGTTGCATAGGGATTATTAAGAAATACACAGCTCCCAAAGCACAAAACATTCCACTCCCACAGTCCCACACACTCTCTCTTCATTATTTCGTAAAGTTACAGGAGCTTTTGGACCCTCTTGAGTTCGTTCAAAAATAGGGGGAAAAAAATTCTTAAGTGAGATTAGGATGGCAATGGGCCGGGTTCGGGCTGGGTATTGGTCCCCCGTCTCCGTCCCCGTTTAAAAAATCGGTACCCGTCCCCATTTAAAAAACCGCGGGGATTTAAACGGGGATCCCCGTCGGGTAATCGGGGAAAACCGTGGGGAAACAGGTATCCCCGTTTAGCATAAACGGTTATTTAAACGGGTATTGGGCCGGGTATTGGGTCGGGTATTGGGCCGAGAATCGGGCCGGGTATATATATATATATTATTAATTAAATATATAAATATATATTTTTTTATTTAAAAATTTATTAATATTATATATATATATATATAATATTTTTTTTTAATATTTATCGGGTCGGGTATCGGGGCGGGTAATCGGGGCTGGTAATCGGGTAATCGGGGCGGGGATTACCAAACCCGTCCCCGTCCCCATTTAAAATAAATGGGTTTTCCCCGTCCCCGTCCCCATCCCCGTTTATCATCCCCGAACCCGACCCGTTTAATTCGGTTTTCGGTTTTCGGTTTTTCCCGTCGGATTCGGGTTTTTTTGCCATCCCTAAGTGAGATCGCCTTAATATATAGTTAAGAAAATATATTATTAGTTTTATTATTATTTTTTTAACAAAATTAATAAAATTTATCGAAAATATTATTATTTCTATCAATTTTGTTATTATTGGATATTTTACCGGTTTTGTTAACATATGGTAAAACACTACTAGTTTTGTTATTTTTTCTACTGATTTTGTTATTATTGAGTACTTTACCGAAATTTAAAAAATATTATATGTTAGGTAAAAAATAATGTTTTAGGTAATTTTTTTACTGAATTTGTTAAAACTGAATTTGTTAAAAAATAATAACAAAACCAATAACATTTTTTAACCGTATATTAAGGCTACTGCATGGTAAAACTTCCCGAAAAAAGGGCAAATGGCAAAATATGATAAGGGAGTTTCCAATGGAAGGCACGTAGGCAGTTTTTGTATCCATAACCGATTGCATCGTACCAAATCATTTGTGAACAAGTTGTGATAATTATTCTAAAAGATAATTTACAATAAGATTTTGGCATTATTTGTTTATATCGGTTATAAAGTTTCGCCTTAACTAAGGTATTTAAATATATTATGTATGTACAGATAGATTAAAGGGGTTAATGGGGCGGTTTTTGAAAATTTTATATTCTTATATAATTTAATTATTTTTATATTTTCTGTTGTTAATATGTATATGTATCTTAAAATTTTATAATTCATCTCGTAACACAAAATTATATTTCTATCATTATGTATGTATATAGTTTTTTACACATACAAACATGATTAAATAGATAGATTTTGAGGGTAGGACTTCATTTGTAAAATTTTAAATTTTATTCGTGAATATCATAAGATAATTTTTTTCGTAGCAACTAGTGTAAAAAATGATAATCATAAAATCTAAATATAACAACACCTGATTTCACTTATAAAATTTAAAATAATTCAAATTTTAGAAAAAAATATTATTAGGTGAGATATTTATAAACTTAAAATTTTATGAAATTTTATAGATCATAGAACGAATAAAATAATATTTTAATTTTATCATTAATATCAAAGCCGGTTAATAAGAGGAGATCATGAGGGATTGTCAGGGACCTCGTTTTTTATAGATCTCCTAATTATTTTTTTCAATTATTTTTTTTATCATTATAATTAAGGACCTTAATTTTTTCGATTTATTTTCTATCTTTATAATTGAGACTCCTATTTTTATAATATCAATTTTTACCTTTATAAGAGGCTTTAATTTTTTTTCAATCCCTTTTTACCTTTATAATTAAGGCCTCTACTTTTTTTAATTTCACTTTCTACATTTATAATTAGGTCCCTAATTTTTTAATCACTTTTACTATGTAATTGAGGCCTCAAATTTTGTAATCCCACTTTTTACCTTTATAATTGAGACCCTAATTTTTTTTTCAATCTCACTTTTTTCCTTTACAATTGAGGCCCCTAATTTTTGTAATCCCACTTTTTTTCTTTATAATTGAGGCCCCTCTTTTTTTTTTCAATTCCACTTTTTTCCTTTATAATTGAGGCCTCTAATTTTTAAAATTTCACTTTATGCATTTATAATTGAAGTCCCTAATTTTTTAATCTCACTTTTTTCCTTTACAATTGAGGGCCCTAATTTTTGTAAACCCACTTTTTTCCTTTATAATTAAGGCCCCTATTTTTTTCAATCCTACTTTTTTCTTTATTGAGGCATCTAATTTTTTTCTCACTCTACATTCATAATTGAGGCGCCTAATTTTTTAATCTCACTTTTTACCTTTATAATTAAGGTTCCTAATTTTTCAATCATACTTTTTATCTTTATAATTGATGATTCTAATTTAATCATTTTCTATGATTTATTAATGTAATAATTGTTCAAAGTAATAGAATATATTTCGTTCTATAAAGGCCTATCTTTTAGTTTCACTTAGGATCCCAAAAATGTATGAGACTACTTGATTAATACATCAGATAATTATCTTTTTTACATATAAAAGAAAGGAGAAAAACGTGTTTGTGGAGAGCCTTTATAATTATATTAGTATAGCAAACAATTGGGGGTTTATAAATGGTCTGAATAAGAAAACCTTGAAGAATGCATGCTCTTATAGAAGCATTTATATTGAAGTTTATTTCACACGTATGAAATAAAAATAAAAAGGCCAGAGCAAAGCCAGTGGCACATATTGCCCATCATCATATTATAAGACAGAAAACTGTGCATGGAATTGGCTACAAGAATTTGTATATTACATCAACCATGCAAAATACTATACAAAAATAGCCCCTGTTCTGCCTGATTCTGATGTTGAGGGTGTTTTGTCCCATTTTAATTCACTACTGCTCTTATATTCCTCAGTGGCAGCGTGCCATTACATAGAAAGAAGAGCTGCACTCACACCACTATATAACTAAAATCGAAGCATTTTTCCATACACAAAAAAACCAGAGATCTCCCTTTCATTCCTCAATCATCTAATTCTCACTTTTACTTGGTTTTTTAATGCAAACATTCCTTCCCAACCCCATGCTTACCCTTAATACTTCTGGTCTCAAACGTCTTCCTGAAAAACAGTCATTTAAAAAGAAAAAAAAACAGAAAAAAAAATAAGCAAATGATGATACGATGTATAACTTGACAAAGGGTTGTCCTGGTTCAGTAGATTAAAGTTTTCTTTTTCAACCTATGGGTTCTTTGCGTTGCATGCTTACATTGTTGCAAATTTGTTTTGTTTAAAATCCATGCAAACATCATATCTGGTTTTAGTCATTCAACTGTTTGTCGACATGCAAATGCATTATTCAAGGAGATCGGTACTTTACTAATATCAGTGTAACTACTGAACACAATATTGTCAATGCTCAGAATAACCACACTACATACATTCATGTTTTCTCTGCATTAAAAAAAGGTATTGGTACCTGGGTAAAAAGAAATATTTCTTCTTAGAAGATTCAGATTTGAGCACTGTCTTGCGATGTTAATAAGCTAAGAAGAGTACTGAATAAATACTACTATGTAATCATCTCAGATTATAAAAAAAATTGAATTGGCAACTGAATATACAACTGATAAAAATTACTATAAAAGCTGACCCTCTAAAAAAACGAACTATCTATATTATAGAACAATATACACATGTCATGTTAGATACATCCATATCTCTAACTCATCATGAGTTTAACAAACAAAAGACTCCCGAATCAACCTAAGAATTTATAGAGCACAAAAGTATACACACAATTAACATTACATTACACTGTCCTACATGGGGTGATGAAACAATTATATGATTTGTATGTGAGTGGTGTAGACAAATTAATAGAGAAGTAGGACCCAAGGAGTTCCTTACAACAACAAATAATCCAAAACTCTCAACTGTTTATTCTTTTTTCCCCAGTGAGTATTTTTTTCAGAGCCTCCTCCAGTCAAAAAGCGTCTTCTCTACCTTTGTTGGCCTAAAAAGTCATACAAAGGGGTCACTAAATTATTTGAATGCAAAGCAATTCTGAAATGCTAGAAAAGGAGCGTTTGAATGAAAGTGAGAGGGGAATATATACAGTTTCTTAGGCCATACCCCAGCTATAACGGTTAAACTTTGTTTAAAGAAGCTTAAGCATATATATATATAACGAAAACGAAATCCAAACCCCAACTATTTCATGGTAATCTTTGTTTGGAACACTAAAAGAGATATGGGTCTTAAAGTGAAAGTTAAGAGGGATATCTTTTCTATTCATTCCCTGTCAAAAACCTTTAATTTTTTTTCTTTCCAAGGGAACACATTGCATTGGAGCTCCTTCTATAGTTGCATATAATTTTCTTTTCTTTGTTTTGCTTAAAGTAAAGCACTCTCTCGTAAAGCAAATATTAAAAGTAAAATATGGCATTATATACTCAAAAGGACCGCTGATTTTATGCTTTTAAGCTTCAAATAAGCATCTTTTGGTCTATACATGACCATGTGGAGGAAAGCAATATTCAGGAGAAGGAACAAAACCCTCTAAAAGAGAAAGAGAATTGTTAAATAGTGTTTCATGGTGGCCGCCCAGACTTCTAAAGGGTTTAACAATGAAGAAATTTCTTTCTTTAAAAAAGTTGCTCTAATTTTGACATGACAGCTTTGTTAATGTAAAAGCCTAAAAGGAGATGGAATTACGCACCACACATTCCTTTCTAAAAAGTTCCCACTATTATATATCACTAATATCCTCTGCAAAAATTATTAGCTATATTGATTATGATTTTTTTTTAAATTTTATAAGCAAATTACAAATTGTATTTGTTTTCACTTTACTTTAAATAACCCTAATTATTTCATTTTTAGTTTTTTTTTTTAATTCTCTGCACTGGCGAAGAGCGCGAACTGAATAAATTCTTGCTGCTGCTTGATTTGCACACGGAATTTCTTGCGTCTATTACCTGAAATGAACATACGATAAAAATCGTACAACTGAAGGACAACCTCAACCATATATTCTTCGGGCATTTGTCGATTTAAACCGACAAAACTGATACCCACAATTAATTTGATTTTGATTTAATATATTTAATCGATTTCTGGGTTACGAGGTTAATTTTGTTTATTATTTCGATTATCAGTTTTGGATTTTCAAAACCGATTTAATACATTTGGTGTATTTTAAATATATTTATAATATAATAAATATTTTATATTACAAATTATTGATTTAAATTAAATAGATTAATTAAGTGAATTGACCGACTTTAATCGGTTCAATTGTGTTTATTTAGAGTATAAAATTCGATCAGATTGATTTTTGTAGGTTTGATTGAAAAACCAACCAATCCAACCGGAAAAACCAATTACTCTACGTCCATTGTGTTAATTACTAAGAACAAATACATGTGCCATACCATGTTACCTGAATTCAAACATAAATGTAAATTCAATGTGTTGGATAACTACATGTTTCAAGTCATTTCATAATATATTAGGCTGGATAAACTGCTGTAATGATCACACAATCTCAAATAAATGAACAGTCTATTACCCTGTTAAAACAGTTTAAACATAAAATTATGTGATTGTTACTAAACTTTACTCTTGAGTAAACTTCACTACAAAAAACTATGGATTTATTTGGTAAATGGTGAATTTAGATATGAACATTAGATTCCGCATAGTTTGATTTTGACTGATGCAACTTTTGATGTCATGCAAAGCTGGAATGCAGTGCAAGGAATAAGGGGAGAGAGTAGTTGACGCACCGTCACATGGAAAACTGCAGATGAGAAGAGTGGTACAATGGCTCCACTCCTGAAGATGATAAGACAGGAAATGGATTTTCATATGAGATGCTTTGTACAGGGATGTAAGCCCCCAAAAAAAAAGCACATGGATAATCTATTCGAGCATACGTCAAAATCATGAGATAAGATAGAAGAAAGGAATCTCTTATTTCTTAATGAAGTGTGTTAAAAAGGGAAAGGAAGACAACCAAAAGGGTAAAATGGAAGCAGCTAATTTTCAAAATCACAATGCCATTTTTACTTATGCCCATATTTTCTAAACATGTCAACTACACACACACAACTACACACAAATTAACATCCTTGACACTTGACACTCACCTGTACTAGATTTCTTTTTCCCTCTTTAGAAGAAAATAAAAGAACTATAGAGAACACCTTTTCCTTTGCAAAATTAAAGATTTCTTAGTTGAACCAACCTGCTTGACAATGAAAATCATTCTTTTTAGTTAGTAGGCAAACCTAGAACTCAGGCTGGAGCTTTAATCACTCGGCTATCCATATTTTTTCTAGATAATCTTCCTGAAGCAGTGGAGCAAGCATGCTCTCAACAGAGGACCTTGGCTTACTAGTCTCTTCAAGAATCAATAACTGAGCAGTCTCACAAGCCTTTGCACTATGGAACCCAAGTGTCCATCTCCCATCGGCAGGGGTATTGGAAACCTTAGATTGGTTGACTTTAGCTTTAAAAAAATCTGGATCGAATTCTCTTATCTGAAGATGTAACCATGTCGGGTGGTCCTAGTCTACCTGTGGCTGGTTCAAGTGAAAAGAAAAAGAAACAACATTGCAAAGTTATCAAGAATCAATTACTCAATTCAAGCTTCAAGTATCTAAACAATCAAAGCCTTTTCATTGATTGCTGTCAAACAACACAATCAATACACAAGGCAAAGTTGCTGTTCATTACAAATCAATATACTCTGTTAATAACAAACCAGATTCATCCGATGTATAAAATGAAAATGAAAAAAACTATCTTGACCACGATTTTTCTTTTTCATCAGGCATTTCATTAGCATAAGAAATTTTTTTCATAAAGGTATTAAAAAAATAAAGCATAGTAACTAAAACACGGGAGTAAATAGAAGGGGGAAAATATATAGTGGGTTCCATAGTTTCTATGGTTAAGGTATTAATAAAATAAAAGCATAGTAACTAAAACAAGGGAGTAAATAGTAGGGGGAAATATATAGTGGGTTCCATAGTTTCTATGGTTACTTCTTAACTGGTGAGGGCCGTGCGGCATTCTAGCACCAGAGCTCATCCGTTCATTTAATTGGCAACTTGTACAATTCACACTCTCAGGTCTACTCATAAACTTTCCAGCAATTGATCTCTCACAACACAATCTATCCTATGTAGCAACGATATGTAAGTGCAAGGATTTAGTAGGGAGCTGACAATATTACTCCGTTCTTTTGCAAGAAGCATAACCTTTCAGGTTCACCAATTTTATGATGAATAATAGATCAAAGATACAGGACGCACTGAGAAAGGAGACGGTTAAGAAATGAATTAGGAAATTTCAGAAGCCAACCAAGAGATATGATTATTTGTTGATCATGTTTTTCATTTTGGTAGAAAAGAACATGCCAAAGCAGTCATACCAAACATATCCTCAATTTCCTCGTTAGAATCACCATTGGTGAAGAGGGAAAATGAAAAATCAAATCAGCAAAATTCTCACTCACACTTAACCCTGCCAGGGGAGCAATGGCAATTACAACACCATGCTGATTCTTGAAAGGATGCTTCTCCGCAAGAATCAATTTTCCAGAAATTCCTTGTGCCACTGCTACTACGTAAACATCCCTGACTCCAGCATACGAGAAAACAATCCTACAAGGGATTCCAGATCCTATAAAAGTTCAATAAAAAGGAAGAATCAAATTTCCAGATATATAGTTTCAGTAAGATATTTTGGATAGTTGACTGCATAAATTGATATCCAACCTAAAGAGACCTCTGACCAATCTGGCAGATGAAGTATCTCTGCTAGAAGTTCTTCCCAAATCACTATTACACCATGACTTTAGTGAGGGCTTTTCAAGTAAACGTCCCATGAAAATAAATGCCTTGAGCTGAAGATGGAGAATGAAAACCTACAATTTTAAGTTCTGTGAGATTTCTAATGGGAAAACAATAGTGAAACTCAAAAGGAAAAACCTTGTAGGAGATATTTTCAGAATACATGCAGCAGTGCTTTCAGCAAGACTAATTAATCAAATGCAACAATAGGCAATCATATCTCAGAGCACATAACAATATAAATGAAGGTCAAAATGCTAGTAAACAAAACACGAGACCGGTATACTTCAGTCATGTAGCCACTGAATAATTATTTCAATCCTATACATGCATCAAACCGTATTCTTATTTCTACATGTCTTGTTTTTAAGCATATAAATGAAAGTCAAAAATGCTAAATACTTATTTCAATCCTATACATGAATCAAACCAACTTGATTTCCTTCAGTTATTAGATAAATTGTATGCATGTCCACAATTGACGATAAAGCTAAATACTTAGGAACCTTAATAAGGCTGGAACACATGTATAACTACTAAGTAAATATAATAAATTCAAAAACTATATATATGTTGTAGAAAACCTTTACGGCGTCAACCATCCTCTGCCAAGCAAAATATGAGTTTTTTATTAACTTTTTATTACTGAAGCATTACATGAGAATAACTTTTTATTAACCCATGAGCCAAGACACAAATTGCACATGCATCAATGAATTAGAAGTGATGAGAAAGGGGGAAGACCCAATACCATCAATGGTTTGCTGGCAGCTTGCCAACTCCAATGTAATAAGGGATCCCTAACTTGGGATTGTAGCTCCAGAGCTGTATGTACTCACAAAAGCAGTCATCAATTTTAGTTCCATTTTGAAGATATGACAAGTCACTACATCCCTCCAAACCCGCACCTTGCAAGAATTCCACCTTCTATTTAAGAAGTACAATCAGGAATTGAATCACTGTAATTGATACTTTTTTACTGCTTCCCCACTCATGTCCTATAGTATTTGGGATATGATCAAACCGGCATCCATCAAGTTCCTTTCGAAGACATTCACGGGACTGCTCATATGAAGTCTGTCAACAACTAGAAAATATAAAACTTTAGAAAATTTTCACATAATCACAAGTTTTAAAGAGAAATCCGACCCGCTAACGATGGTTTATGCTTATTGTAACAAACAGGCTACAACTAAGTAAAGGTTTCAGCTTCTCACCAAGCATAAGAAAGAAAATTTCATCCAATTTGTTATAATATGAAAATGTAGGAAGCAGCAATACTTCCATTGGCATTATTAATTTAAAGAAAGCACTGCAAATCAGTAGGATGCTTACATTGAATAGGTGGACATTATCATCAGTGAGCATATTTCCTTCACATTGAAGTAGCTTTCGCAAAAACCACCCTGTATGCCACTTTATATGAACGGAAACTGGTGGTTGGGATGCTACAACCTTCATTAACGCCTTCAAATCTATTTTGAAAATGGAAAGAATAGTAAGAAGTCATTTAATACTGAAGATGAGCAAACCATGAAAAGAGACCAATTAATTTATAGTTTACCCTTCACGCCAATGAGAACGGAGAAAAGGAATAACAGGTGGCGGTCATTCATCCAAATGGTTGTTTGGCAAGCATGATCTAATATAGTTTCAGAGAAAATAAATCTCTTCAGACACATATGAGATCCATTCTTACTGTCAAGCCCTGACTTTGACTCATTCTGAGCAGTGATGCCGGATAATGCTCCAGAACTGTAGGATAAGACAAAATTACATTTTTCTTTTTGTAACAAAAAGAGGGTCATTAAAGAAATGAAAATAAACGTTGATGCAAGGAATTATATCTTATATCCAAAGAAGAATACTATGATATACAAACTGAAAGGACATAAGGTACCTTTGTTTTCTGCAAGAGTAAGCAATAGAAATAAAGATGCTAGTGATATACTGTGATTGTCTGAAAACAAATATGCAAATATCCCAAACTTGCAGCAATAACAATTTCAAAGAATACAAATTATAATTCATTGCAATTTTGCAACCATAATAGGAAAAAGTAGCTACATAAAGAAACTGTTGTGAATCAACTATGTAGTCCATCACATATATAGTTGTTTTCATTATATATTCAGTTATGAGAGCACCTAAATAATTCTGTGTTTTCTAGTTCCCAAGTAATGATCAATTGTTAAGGAAACATATGAATTAAATACATATATTTAGATATATTTAATGTCACCAAGTAATGGTCAACTCTTTTAGCATGACCTAAGCCTCTAGAATGGTGAAGTCATTCCCAAGTTATAACTTTAATAATATTTTATTTTTAGTTGGAATTTGCTTGGTGGCAAAACACCATATTGCCATTAGATCTAAAAATACACATTAATATTGCCATTGGTTCTTAAGAAAGAAAATGAAACCATAATTAAAGCATTTATAAATACCCACTTCTTTATGAGAATTAAAGAGTTTCTTGACACTGTCAAGACCAACTATGACATCAGAATAGGGAGACACCAACCTCTCTACATGCACATTATCATCCCTAGGGGTGCCGTCATAATGAGAATTTGTAGATGTATGCTCATTTAAATGCTGAAGTAGAGAGTTTATATTGATTTCTTCTCCTCCAGCCTCAGGACCAGATATTTTGATTCATTTATCATTTAACACGTGCAGAAGAGGACTTACATTACCTTTGCCACCAGCTGTATCCCCATTGGTAGCAATAGCATCTCTATGACATAATGCCATATAATGATACAAAGAAGACAAGCCACTCCATTAATCAAATGTTTTCCACCAACAACTTGAAGAAGCTGAGCAACTATGTACAAAGAAGTGATTGCTGAAATGTTGTAGCTACCCTGATAAAAATAATTGATGAATGAATCTTTCATGTTGAGAAAGCACAGAATAACATATTTTCAAATATCATTAACATTAACACGCTGACAAACAGGTGTAGAGATATAATTAGATATTCCATCAACAGAATTCTACTTTGGAGCAGTTTTTTTTTTTTTTCCTTTTTTTAATTTGCTTTGTCCCAAAACCTTCCTTTTTTTCTTTTTATTTTCATCTCTCTTCCTTTTGCAGGAAAGGATCAAATGTTATATGGTATAAACTAAAATCCAAGTCTATCGTACATTCAGCAGAATACCATTCTACTTCGTTTGAAGGTGGCAGGCAATTCTGATAAACAAAGAGGAAAGAAGATAAGTCCATGAACAAATCTAAGAATGTACAAGGAAAATAATATTCTCATACTCTTTCCTCTAAATTCTGCGCATAAATGCAGAGCACTGCCTGACTGTTTAAAACATGACATCATGAGAGTGTTTCAAGACATTATTCCAAAAATACAGACTCCAACATGTAAAATATGCAAGAAGCAGATCTATAAGGCATTTGGGTTATCAAACACCAGATACTTCTACTCTTTTAAAGCATTTGTAAATTTCTTAAGAACTAAGTACAAAGTCAAAAACAAAGAATCATAAGGGTGATAACTTACTTTATTCTCCCTAAGTTCAGTAGTGGAAGCAACAAGGGAAAATAAGTACACTGAGAAGGTTTTTCGTAACTACTCTACTTAATTGCGATTCGCCAATAGAAAGCATGTCCTTGAAGTAGTAAAGATTGTCTATGATTTTCAGTTTTCAGAAATATGTCCTTGTTTTCTTTACAAGTACATTTTTCCCTGCACCATTGCCGATTCCTTAAAAGTTAAGACTTTATAGTTAACAAGAAATTAATCATGAAAAATCCTTTTAAATATTGAAAGCAACATACTCTGTGGAATGGACAAGGGCATCTAGTTGTAGACATTGCTCCCTTAAACTACAAACCAAGTCTGAGAAGTAAATCGAGGCTAGAGGAGTTGTTATAAATTGATAGACATTATTGTCACAAACTGCATAAACCAAAATAACAGTAATGCAAACATTTTAAGCTTCCAAAAATTCAATAAAGCAGAAATTTTAAGATACAACAGATGATTAGTACTATTGTATATGTTGAGTTAATGCACGTATAGCTGTTAGAATCATCTTTTCCTCATGTTGAGCAAATTTAAGAGCCTCACTGTACAGGAGAAATGAGACCACTACATCCTGCAATGACAAAGGGTAAAAGAAAAGTGAAACAGGAGAAAACTCGATTTAATTAATTTAATGACCCCATATAGGAAATTGGAGATAAATCATGCAAGGGTAGGAAAAAAGCTGTCTAGCTGCTAAAACGTTGGAGGAAAGAAGAAGACAAACTGTAAAAGCAAGACATTAAAGAGAAGAGAAAAGGTATTTCATTCACACAAGCAAATGCAAAGAAATGAAGAGAACATATCCTGATTAGTTGGAAAATGGACACAAGCACAAGCAAATACATATATATATACATGAATGAATTTTGCTAAATGATTTTAACCTGAGACTTCAGACAATATTGGTCCCAGAAGAAATACACCCATAAAACAAAATAAATCAAAATTCGTTACCTATATACAAGAAAGTTGTCAAACATATTTTGTGTTTCTTTTCTGCTAGTCTACAATCTCCGACCATAACATAAATGATAAAAACTTCAGGTAGGTGCGAAGATCCTTAGGTGCCTCAAACAAGATAATGCAACTATGCCTCATACGCTTGAACAAAATGCACAAGCCAACACCCTAGACCTACCAAAAGCTTCGTCAGAAGAAACTCTCCTCTCTTCATTTGCTCTAAGAGCAAAATATATAACTTTGCATATGGTCATCAGAATCTCTTTTAAAGGCAGCAGCATATATATAAATGCTGATCGAAAAGGGATTTAGGGCTAAGGGAATTATTTAAACAATGTCGTTATGCAGCATTCATTGTATCCAGGTTTCTTGCTCAAGTAAAACGTCAATTCTTTGAGCATTCTATAAACATGAATTCTATGGATAAAGAGCTCTACTTGAACACAGAGAGACATATTAAAACCTACAATGAAACGCTTTAGACCATTGAGCTCTACTTGAAAATCTTTAACTTACCCCATGAACCTTAACAAGAAGGCAAAGTGTGTCTCTGCTTATTTTACTACTCACTGCTCTGGTTGAACAGAAAAACATAAGATGTGAAAAACATGATTATAATATTTTGTTTCCATTTTTTAATAATCAAGTCTGGCAATAGTTTCAGAAAGAAAAGAAATCTGAGGAAATAATTTGTTTCAATAAATAAAAGTTATATTGTTACGCTTTAGAAATTTAAGGGATAACACACCTTAAGAAAGATACATAATAAAGAGCAAGATCCCCTGTATTGAAGTTATATTGATGTTCTACGATGTTGTTGATATAGTCATTGCTTAAACAATAGTCTGCATCACCAAATTTGCAAAAACAATAGTCAAGGCAGCAGAAATAATTTCAGAGACTACGCAGAAAAAGTTGAATGTATGTTTGCACATGGAATATCAACATTTATATTTGTGATCATTTCTGGAGACATGCAAACCGAAAGAGAAATCATTAAATAACCAAGAAGTTTAACATACATATCTATGGCACTAAGCATCTTACAAATTGCGTGTTCACTATCCATGTTTTGAATCATTATGCTTAGATACTGAAGAAATGGAGCCTCAATTGTTGAACTTGTACTGATCTTTAGTACCCGTACAAACTCTGCTAAGACTTGGTATTCCATAAAACAGCTGGAAAAAATTTATGAAATTCAGATTTCATCACAAACATACTGAAAGACGTAATCATTATTAGAATACGTCCTGAGTAAATTCATACTCAAATATTGATGGATCTTTTCTGTCCCCATATGTCACTATCTCTAGAATAGTTTGTAGTAGATCTACAACTGCATCCTGCACAAGAGAAAGAACAAAGAGGCTAATTTGAAAAGAAGTTCATATATACTCATCAGGACTATTATGCAATACATCAAGGCACCAGAATTCAAAAACTTCACAAGCGGGTTTTTTAACAACCACATGTCCATTTAACTATATATCCGAAGTTAATCAGTTGAAATTTAACTTCCTTATTTATAGTTAAACAGATACGTGGTAAACATATGAACCTACTCGTGGAGTTTTCAACCTTTCAATGCCATTTTATACATAGATTAATGCTCCGAACTAGCATATAATAAAAAAAGAAATTTAAAAGTCAAATAAGTTACCCTGTTCTGGTCATCGACAACTTTGATCTGCCGCAATTCAGTAACTACAGATCTATATCCACGAACAAGATTTTTAAAAAACCGTCAAAATAATAATCATCAAAATGAAAATCGAAGACCAATCCAAAAGATACAAAAAATGTAATGTGAAGAAAATGTGACTGCTAAACGCCTAAACCTATTTAAAATCATCAAGATAACGAGAAATAATAACAAAATTCAAAGGAAGAAAAATTAGTACCACATTGTAACTTGATGCCTGATGGAATACAATTAATTGCAGTTTAAACTTGTGTAAGCTTTAAAAAAATAATTGAGAGGAAGAGAGAGAATTTACTTGAAGTGTTGAAGAGAGAAGCGATCGATGGATCGCCAAAGCAAGCGCCACATCGTGAAAAATGGAGATCTGTTGTTGTTTTTTTAGTTTCTGAGAGAGGAAAGAAACCCTAGAGGAAGAGAAGGAGAAAGCTGTAGAAGGGGAGGAATTTTGCTGGAAGACGTACAGTTGAGTTTGGTCCGCGCGGCAAGGGACTGGAGTGAGGCTTTTGCTTTGGTTTGGTTTTGTATTCGATGCTGTGTACTGCCAACTAACTTTCAAAGTTTCTAAATTTTACAGATGGACACGTATGGTATCTTACTATGTAGTGCTTCTTTCAACTTATCATCTATTTAAAATTATAAAATGATTTTTTTTATTAATTTTATTAAATTGATTATTAAAAATTATAAAATAATTATTCGACTATTATATATTTTAAACTCGTCGGTTAAAATTGATCGTCTAAATTGGACATTAATATGTTGACTAGTACATGATAAAATTTTCATAATCGTTGATATAGTCGTTTTGATTATATAGTCGTTTGATATTCTGAGATCAAATGTTTAATATATCTCGGTCAGCAGGTTAATGTCCAACTAAGGCGATTGTCAATTTTTTAATAAAAAATGACAAGATTGAAATATATGAATAATTAGATGACCATTTTATTACTTCTAATAGTTGAGAGACTCAATAAAGCAACACCCTATAACTAAAAATCATTTTGTATAGTCGATAAATTTAACAAAATAATATTATATATTATATAATTGAGAATCTGTTATTGGTGTTATTGATGTGTTAGTCTTTCTATGAAATGTCAGGCCTCAAATTAAATGCTGCCAAATGTGTTTTTTTAATGTTTTTAAAATCGGACGGACATTGAACCGGTGAAGGTACTGGTTCACTGGTTTAACCGCGGTCCCGGTTGAACCAGATTTTATATAAAATTTTTTTTTAATTTTACATAATATTCAAAGCAATATTAATATATATGTAACACTTTTTTTTAGTTTACAATATTAAAAGGTATAAAAATATCACAAGCAATAACATATATAAATTAAAAACCATAAAATCAAGTGAAACAAAATGATTCAAATCAACTACAACATAATATTTAAGGTAAAACATATTAAATAATAAATATAATTATATAACTATACTCAAAAAAATAAAATTGTGGCTTAAAAAAATCATAACAAATGATGTCATTTGGTTTAATTTTTAAAAAAAAATCCCACATAGCTAAGAAACATAGAAGAGCGTCCCAAAAGTTTAAAGAGTAAAAATATGAGAACAAAACAATCTCACATGGCTAAGAAACATAGAAGAGTATTCCAACTTACTTCTATAAATAATAGAGGTAATTTGACATTCAAAATCATGGAGTCTTTTGGTGAGCACAGAGCGAACTATTCTTTCGCTTCAATTGAACTCAAATTTTAGGCTTCAATCGAACTTCTAATTTTTTTGAGTTCGAGCCTTTTCGAGTTCAAGTTTTAATATTATATTTCGAGTTCGAGTTGAACTTGATAATTTTTAGCTCGTGAGTTTTTTAGTCGAGTTGAGCTTACTTTTAAAGTTTTCGAGTTCGAGTCGAGCTCAGCAATACTCGAATTTGACTTGGCTCGTTGAACAAACGACGTCGTTTGATTTAATTTTTTTTAAAAGAAAAAAAGTGAACCGACAGTTCAAATCGGTTTTGTCGGTTTTCAGCCGGTTCACCCCGATTTTATCGGTTTTCAACCGGTTCTACCGGTTTTCAGTCGGTTCATTACTAGCCCAGTTTTGTGAGGTAACCGGACAGGCCATCGATTCACGGTTCAACCGGTTGAACTGGCCGGTCCGGTTTTGATAACCATGGTTTTTTTACTGCTGGAATCTCGCCTAGTAATATTGATCTGATTAAGCAGCACTGGTTTCATTCAAGGTTTTTTACCTGTGATGTACTTAGGAGTTCCTCTTGTATCCAAAAAACTTTCTGAAAAAGACTGCGATATGCTAATCGGGAACATAATGTAACAGCCTCAATACCGGGTTAGTGACTAAATTATAAAACTTTAGAATTTGGTGATTAAAATAGAATGATTGAATAGTGTTGTAATTTGGTATAAGGTTAAATTGCAAGGAAGATGGAATTGAAGGATAGAATAGTCATTTGTAAAGGAAAATAATTAAGATTTCTTATATTTGTATTAGCTACACGTGGAAAGAAGGAAACAAAACATAAGCTTATAGAATTCTCTTCTTCTCTTCTTTCTCCCAACGTGAAACTCATAGCAAATGTGAGATTTCTCATAAGTTGGTTGTTAGTTGAAATTTAAGTCTGATTTTGATCCTTAGATGCTAATTAACCTTATGGAAAGCTTAATTTGCTTTAAAGCCATAAGGTGAGGAAGTTATAAGAGATTAAAGAAAATATGTTTTTAAATAAATTTATGGAAAAAAGTTGATAAGTTGAATTTGAAGTTTAATTTGACTTGTCATCGTGCTAATTAAGGAATATGAAGTGTTAGAATTATATTTAGAACATATTGAAATTTGAGTATGATTCTTGAATTATATATAAGGGATATGATTTTGAGGTTAAAGATGATTTTCATGGATATAAGTTGGTTTAAGTAATGATGGTTGGGTTTAATGACATGATAGGGGTTTAAAATAGAGGAATTGAGTGAAGAATTGATGATTTTCGGCTTAAATACAATTTATGGGTTGTGTGCATCGATGTACATTCAATGTGTATCGATGCACTCTCAAATAAATAAATCGAATGCAATTAGTGCATCGATGCATACGGAGTGTCGATGCATAAGGAGTGCATCGATGCACCTGCTTAAAATACAAACATCGAATGGGATTTATGCACCGATGCATAGATAATGCATCGATGCACCCATTAAGGGATGCATTGATACATGGTGTAGTGCATCGATGCATACCTTCATTAAAAGTTAGAAATAGCTTTTTTATTAGCCTAAGGAGTGATAGTTAAGAATATATTAATTAGTATACTGATTAGTATCAATGATTACTATGTAGATATAAACATAATTTTTCCGGAACAAACAAATGATTAAGATCAAGTCAAAACAAGAAGGCCAAGGTGAGTGCCACACTAGATAGAATTGTATGGAGATAAGACTTGCGATAAGTCTATCTCTTATAATTGAATTCATGATTTCATATTCATGTACATGCATCCATATATATATTGGATACAATGATTTCATGCATAATTCATTTATGCTTAATATGATATTATGAATGAAAATTGTCAGAGAATCCTTCAAGGTATCTGAAATAAGAGAAATGATTATGTGAAGTGACTGATGTGTTTACATGGATAGTGATGAAAGAGATATGAAATGAGAAATGTATTTATAATTAAGCCCATGTTATGTAATATGAGAGTTGTAGGTATAATTAGCATGCCAAGAGTCGAGGGATAATCAGTGGTCCTTCGGGACATAGTGGTTCTTCGGAATAATCAGTGGTCCTTCGGGACATAGTGGTCCTTCGGGACAAATATTCAGTGCCCCTTGAGGGAATTACGAGCTGTGGTGACAGCATAGTGCACAACCTCTATGTACTCACATACCTTTGTTCTCAATAATATACATGGGCAATCCAAAGATCAATTAAAGTTGAATTATTATAAGAATATATGTTTTATATGTGAATGTTACTATCATATATGTTATAGTGAAGTAGATGCATGCAAATAAAGATGTCATGATCAGATAGAAAGAATGCGTGTTCATGAATGCATTGTTATGTATATATATTTTATATTATGTCTCACTAAGTCTATGACTTAACGTGTAAGTGATTTACACGTAGGTACCAATCAAGAGAGCAGTAATAGAGGCGGCAAGGACAACATCACTAAAATCATATCAGAAGTAATTGACAAAATAGATTTTGGTTGTGTATAGAGTGTTGGCATGTAAGTGGTTAATTACGAATGCTCTGATCGATTTTTTTTTTGTGGTATCTTTATGTAAATTAATGTATTTGTTTTAATGAAAGTTAAAATTTCTCTGTTTTTCTTTAAGTGTCAAAGTTTGAAAAGTCAATGTGACACCTCGGACTCCTATTCAGGTCGGATATGGGTTAAGGGTGTTACACATAAAATCGAGACTGCATTTCTGGTCTGCTAAGCTTCTCAGTTATGCTGGCCGTCTTGAGCTCATCCGGGCTGTTTTGTACAGCATTGTGAATTATTGGTGCAACAGTGGTTCTACCGAATTCGATTATGACCAAGATTGAACAACTCTGTTCCAGATTCTTTGGAAAGAAACATACAAGGTGCTGCTGGTGCGCGTATTAGCTAGATGAAAATCTGTCAGCCTAAATCGGAAGGTGGCCTTGGACTGAAAAATATCAAATTATGGAATAAGGCTTGCATGGTTAAACTGATTCGGAAAATGCTGGCTGGTGATGGGTCCATTTGGGTTGCTTGGATCAAGGCCTATGATTAAGGACCAAGATCCTTGGCTTATGACTACGGGTGCCAACCTTAGTTGGTGTTTAAAAAGGCTGCTCAAGATCAGGAATGAAGCTTTTCCAATTTTATCTAAGGGAATAACTAAAACAAGAGATATATGGGAAGAGCTTAGAGCGAAAGGCAACAAGGTCCAGTGGGAAAAATTGGTTTGGTTTTCCTTACACATCCCTAAGCACACTATAATCGCTTGGATGTCTTTACATGATAGGCTTCCCACTCGTGCTCGGCTTCAAAGAATGGGAATCCACATTGATGGGTGCTCCGTGTTTTGCAATAAAGCCAATGAAACACGCGATCACTTATTCTTTGATTGCTACTTGGCGAATTACCTTTGGGGGAATATTTGACCCTTCAGGATTGCAGAAAACAGCTCTGTCATGGGAGGATATGGTTGTCAAGCTTGTGAAAAGTGGAAAGGTAAATCCCTTATTACCACCGTCTTAAAATTGCTTGGTCTGCCTTCATTTACACTTTGTGGGAAGAACGAAATCGTAGAATATTTAAAGGTTGCTCAAAACTGCAGAAGACATCCTCAAATCTAAAGACGTTGTTGGAATTCAACTTCGAGGAAAGAATATTAACCGTTTAGATAGTATTAATATCAATCTTTGTAACGCTTGGGGTATAGCTTAACCGATCATTCTTTTTGTAAGTAGGCTGTAAATGTTTTGTGATTGGTTGTTGTTTTCTTTGTATTTTGACTGTTCTTTAGGTAATAAAA